CATTTATTTAATTTAATATCTTTCTCTGTATTTTCTCTGTTTGTTGTGAGTAACAAAAGCATTCAGTAGTGTGATAAAAAGGAAAATGACCAGAATTGCTCAGGAATGGTGGTATAGTCTTCACAGGAGATGTCAATTTCCCTTTGGTTTTCTCTCTGGTAGGATCACAACCATGGTGTTATATATCTTATCACTCAACAGCTGGAGGGATGTTGATGAGAAGAAACTGGGGAGAGTGGGAGCTCTTCACCCTACCTCCCCATCGTTTTCAAGAACTGGTGATAAGGGTGTCTTAGTGTCCTCACTGGAACTGAAATGCCCCCATGGAGGTATTTCCTCCATAGACAACCAGCCTCCCTTTAATCTTAGATTAATCCAAGGAGGTATTGAAATCACACTGGAGAAACTCATGCAGAGCGTCAGTGTGGAGACAGGGTGTGATCTCAGGAAGGCAGTGAGTGGGTATAACGATACTGCTCCTTCATAGGGTTATGAGGGTTCCATTAAAGAATAACTGCACATTGAACCTGTTGAATCAATTTTAGCTATTAAATATAAGTGTGGAAATGACAGAGAGAAAACAGCAAATCTAAGCTTTGGATGCCAACAAGTCGAGGTTTAAACCTAAATCTGCCATTTATTTTCTTCATCCATAAAATCGTGATAATACAGCTCTCCCTCCTAGACTAGAGAGGATTTGAGGAGTTACATACAGCCCCTCAGTAAGGGGTATCTGGACCACTTACTTCGTATTAGTTACTTTCTCCCATACTTCTTTTACATAGAGAAGATTTATTTTGTTCTGACTTGGTTTCCTTGATTTTTTAAGTGTTTTAAGGTAAACAAATATTTTTAATATGTACTACCATGTACTCTGTTAAGTACTGTTAAGTACTGTTAAGTTCTTGTTGTTCAGTATCTCATTTAACACTCATGCTAATCTCGGGTCTTCACACATCATGTTTCGAAGCAGGTTGACTAGGTAGGAAGTATCTACTCAGACTAAGCACCTGGTCAAAGTCCCTTAACTTTGCCTAGCATGAAAAATATTAACATTTTGGGAGCTATTATCATGAAAAATTTTTTAAAAACTGTAAGTTTCTATTAGGCCTTACAAATAGCAAAGCATTCAATATTATACATTTTTTTCCAAATATGATCCTAAAGATTTTCTAGAACAGAAAATACTGACCCATCATAGGTGCCTCTGATGTTTTCAAATGTTAGTGTCATCCATGCAGACTCTGGAGACAAACAGCCTACGTTCTAACCCCAGGGTCTATGGGTTATTAGCTATGAACCTTCAGTGAGGTACCTTGGCCTGTTTCCTCATGCATTAAAACCGGATGAATGATTGCACCTACTGCATAGGGTTGCTATGAGGATTAAATGCATTAATTCAGATAAAGCACTTGAAATAATGCCTAGAACGTAATAGATACTATTCAAGTGTTATTTATTCATATGGCATTCTATGCTGCTATCTACCTCATTTGAGAATCTGCTTGATAGTCTAATGTGAATGTCCTCCGTATTTTGTGATTGGCTGATCAACTTTGAACGCTTTCTTGATTGATTACAAACTGGCAGCTACTGTTCTGTCTCACTTGTCCCCAAATAATAGATAGAAATTTCCAGCGGTGTGGGGAGGGATAGCATTGATTATAGTTATGTTCACCCAACATTTCCTATCCAAGTAAGTAGCATGTAGTAAGGATACTAGTATTCCTACTACCAGTAATGAACAGATTTGCCATATAAGAATGGAGTCATCTTATTTAACCTTAACAATAACTCAGCAAGGTAGGCATTGTTAATTTTTCATAGATAAGGAAAATGGCTCAAAGATATTAAGAAACTTGTGTAAAGTCACATAATTGTGAGTGGCGGACCGAAGACCATTTCTGTCTAACTTTGAGAGCTTGGCCATTCTGTCTTCACAGGAGGGGTGGGAGGTGGGGGGGCTTGTGGAGAATTCCAGAGCTTCTGCGTGAGATTGTATGGACGTGCGCTGATGATACTTCGTGGGTAGGTTTTCTCATTTGAAATTTACTCATGTTTGGTGCCCATGTGCTGAGAGATTGGTTCAGTGGATCCGGGAAATTATGTCAATAATTAAGTCTTCAAAGGCCTAAGATTATGAGACTCATTTAGGGTCTAGGGTGGTACTTTCCTAGCAAAGTTAAGTTGTAAGTATTTTAGAGGAATTAGCAATCTATTTAATGTTTCATGGGAGATTTAGGTGAAAATTGATTCTGGGCTAGTTTTTTCTTGTCTAACTCATTTTTCTCTTCATTTGTAAGGAGAGAATTTGCTGAGTCAGAGGTGTCGCTAGAGACCATGTAAAAACAAAACCAAATAACATCAGTGTAAATATGAAGAGCAGAGTGTACTAAATTCTCTCCAAAGGCCTTCTATCTCCAAAGCTGTATGCGTCTAAGTTTTCTAATTATTCCAGTACAGTAAAACATTAAACACAAGTAAATGCCAGCTGGCATTCTAAATCATTGCTATTTCATTTTCTAAGAGTGGCCAGCCAAAAATTCACTCTTGTGTACAGTCTTAGCCTACTCTTACACATCCTCTCCCAGCTTCTGGGCCAGCCAATATGGTGCATATTCAGCATTCTAAATGCAGGGACTGGCATCACTACTTGGATGTGTCAAAAAAAATTATGGCTTTGAAATGTTTTCAGGGTAGATGCTGCCTAAGCCGTATATGACAGATGTATTGTCATCCTGGATGCAGAGGGAGCCTGGATTCTTATCCTGAAGGGCGGGTTTCTGTTTGCTATTCCATTAGTCTTTATTTAACCAAATCCTCCACCTAAAACCAGGTGTAATAAGTAATATACACACCTCTGTCGCACGAGTGCTTTCTTCAGATTTGAACAGCAGGCAGAGAGAACTTTGTAATGTCTGGAGAGGTGGCAACTTTTTAACACTTAGCCAGTTGTTTATGACAGCTACTTTGCTAATTTTGCCAACGGTCATAAAGGAACAGTGGTGTGGAACGGTACTCCACAAACTTTAAAATCAAGCTGATTCAAAACAATGAATGAGAAGGGGAAGGTGGCCACAGATCCAGTGTTTTTGTGTGTTGGTGTCTGCAGTATCATTTAAGTCATGAACCTGGTGATCTATCTTCCTTAACGATTGCAAAATAATTTTTGGATTCGTGGTTCCATAATTGCATTAATATTCTGCTTACTTGACAGTAATAGGAGAAGAGGAAGACATTACCAATCCTCAGGAAAATTGTTCTATCACACACGCACAAAAAAATGTTTGAAGTAACACGGGGATTCTAAGTTGCTTATGTTTAAATTTGAGTGTCCTTTTGGTTGTAGTCTCTGAAGAATTTTCTGAGTATTGAGTAATATTATTATTTAGACTGCACTGTTTATATTTTAATTCTAATTCAGCATAATTTCTATGACATTAGAGGAAAAATACTGCTTACATATCTAAGGAAGTTATAGAACATTTTTTAATTCTTCATAGTCTACTAAACCTAAATTGTTATGAACAAAAAGAAAAATTTTGATTTACCTTCAAACGTTGTAGCTAAAACTTTTTCTAAGTTATTTCATGCTTTGTTCATATATCTCACAGGCAGCATGGGAATGGTGGCACTTTTCTGAGATTCAAAATGAAGGTTTAAATATTCTAAGGTCTCTTTCTGAAATGAAGTCCAGTAAATTCACAATATTGCATTTTCATAGATGTATAAATACTTACATATTTGACTGAATAAACTCATTTTGTAGTCTATTTTAAGATAATAAAAATGTTAACAGTATTGCAACAATGTTTAAAAAGGGAATACAACCAAATCTTCAAATTTCTTTCTCTGCATAGTTTATGGAATGTTTTAAAATGGACTATAGCTCATGTGCCTCACAATTGCTCTAATTTTTCGTGTTCTAAGCATTCAGGATTTGGAAGGGGAGTGGAATTCAGAGAAAATGGATTGAATGAATTCAGAGGAACTGGAAAAATGAGCTTTTATTTCCTGTGCAATTATAGTGTGCCTGGCACTATGTGAAATATTATAGTAATCCTGAAACTGTATTAGACTTGTCTGCCCTCAAGGAGACTCTGCATAATCAAGCTGTGGGAACGAAACTCATATACATGAAACAGAGAACAGTACGAGGCAGGATACGATCAAATGTTGAATTCAGGAGACAATGTTATTTTTCCTAAATCAAAATATCATTATTCCTTTATTGTTGCATGGGGCTCACTATCTGTTTGGTTGAACATGTGTTATTTGCCTTTCAGCTGGGGATTAGCATGGATTGGAATATACCATTTAGATGCCTTCATCATCATCATTGTCATCATCATCATCATCCCCAAACACGTGATGTGTCATCTTCAGGAGCTATCCTGGGCAGTATATAAAATCAATTAAGATGGATATTAACAGTAAATCACCCCAGGAGTTGTTAGGCTTAACTAGATAATATGGATTAGATAGACAGACAGACATGCGGAAACGGACCGGTATCCGAATATTAGTGTCCTTAAATAACGCATTGCTCTGTAGTTCCAGTGGCAAGTGGAATTGTGTGAGAGTGTGGATTGACCTTTTCTCCAGGCTAAAGAAGCCTTCCTGGAGGTGGTGCTTCAGAAGCCTACTGTTGGAAGAGAAGTACCTCTGTTCTTTTTGAAAATATTTTCCTTCCAGCTGCAAACTGACAGGTGGTAGATGTCCAACATTTGAAACGCCAAATTGCTCTGGAAATCTATTTGTCCAGAAATATACTTCTATTGTTTTATATAAATTAGGCTTCTACGTAACTGGTAAATTTATGATTTTAGTTTAATAGATAATATTCAGTTAAAGATAAGAAAGACCTAACAGAGTTCATGCTTTTTCTGGCGGTGATTCTTAGTAGCAATGAGTGATGCTTACCCCAGAAATTTTGATGCTCCAATTTAGGAGGCCAGTGTTCCCCACTTCCCACTCCTAGCTGAGAATCACTGCTTCAGTGAGTTGCTCTTCCTGCTCGGTGTGTGTGTGTGTGTGTGTGTGTGTGTGTGTGTGTGTGTGTGTCGAGCACCTCAGGTGTGTCGGCTCAGATTCCAATATCAACCCACTCTCTGCTAGGTTTCTTATATACTTTTAATCTGTAGGGAAATCCCAACAAATAGGTATCAAATAAAGCCCAATAAAATTTCTAAACTTAATCCAAGTCATGTGGGACCAATGATTAGAAAAACCAGGATTTGAACCGTATCTGTCTTTCCCTCCAAAACCTGTGCTAATTTCACTGACTCATTAGAATTCAAATTCTTCATCAAAGATGGTTTTGTTTGAGTTATTGTAAGTTTTGTTAACCCGATCCCTCTTAATTTTCTGGGGTTTTTTGTTCATTCGTTTTGCCTAGAAATGATGATAAAGTGTTTTGTCTCTTTGCTCTTTTGCCTTGAAGGAATAACCACAGTCCTCACCATGACCACGCTGAGCATCAGTGCACGGCATTCTTTGCCCAAAGTGTCTTACGCCACCGCCATGGATTGGTTCATAGCTGTCTGCTTTGCTTTTGTGTTTTCGGCCCTCATCGAGTTTGCTGCTGTCAACTATTTCACTAATATTCAAATGCAAAAAGCCAAAAAGAAGACATCAAAACCCCTTCAGGAAACTCCAGCTGCTCCAGTGCTGAGAGAAAAGCATCCTGAAGCCCCTGTACAGGTATTTGACTTAATTCCTTCAGTTTAAGATGTCAGCTTCTTGGTCAAATTTACATTGTCGGGAAAAACCGAGACCTTGAAAATACCAGTGACAATTTGTAAGTTGTTTAAAATTCCAGAAAAGTATAAAATGATCTTTATAAACTTAAACTTTATAATGGTGAGTAATAGCTTAAAAATTAAACAGCTCTGAGTGAGCTCCATGTAGGTGAAGCTAGTTCTTTGAAAGCTTCTTGTGGAATTAGAAGTCTTTACAGAAAGGGGTAAAATCTCACGTGTGCTAATAGGAGGAACCTGTGGACGTCTTTGAGCGAGTTGGAAAGGCATTTGAGTAGAGGTCGCTGAGCAAAGCAAAGCAACCGTTCTGAACGTGGCTGCGTAGTAGTAGCGCCCGACGGGGCTGCAGGTGGCCTGTGCGCTTGCACTGAAGAAGAAAACAAAACAGGTAAACAGGAAGATCCGTAGTTGTAGTTGATGTACATTCCAGATTGAAAATTCTTGCCCTAAAGGGACAGATCAAAGAGGATGTGCAAAGCCCGATAAGAGCTACTATACATTGGTCACCTCCATCGGTGAGTCTGTGATTTCAGAAATAATAATGAGTGTCTTTTTTTCTCATGGAATCCAATTGTACAAAGTTAGGAAGATCTTCCTGAAAACAGAAAAGCAAACAGGCCCCTTTCTTTTTCCTCCTTTTCCTCTGCTACACCTCTCTCTCTCTCTTTCTCTCTCACGCTCCTCAGCTTCTTTCTTGAGTCAGCAGACAAATGTCTGTGTTGTCACTTACACACAGCCTATTGTACTTGCCACAAATGGTAGCCTGGAACTCCTTTTGTCTGCGTGTACCCAAATCAGTGTGCATAGAAATCATCAACTTTATTCTCTTACGGTGGCAGATCAATCCTTTACTTATTTATTCATTCACTCATTTAGCAAATATGTATTTAATGCCAACTCTATGCCAGACCTTGTTAAGGGTCTGGGCATCAATAGTGTTCCAAAAACCCCAACAAATATGCTGCAATGCGGAGCTAACGTTTATTTGTGGGAGACCACGGAGGGAAGGCAAACAATTTTTAAAAATGTATGTAATAGAACAGGTGATGTGCTAGATGGTGATGTTACTATGATAGTGCTGAAGCACCAAAGAAGGCAGGAAGTGCTAAAGTCGGGTGCAAAGGCTGAGATTCTTTCTCAGGGGGAGGATGACAGTTGAATAAATTAGGGCAGGTGTCCATCCTGGCAGGGACTGGCTGGTCAGTGTCCTGTAATTTACAGTTCTGCTCCTCTGGGGCTCCAGGCACTGCTCTCTGCGAATGGCATGCAAACAGGTAGGAAAATAAATGTCTTTGCACTAGTAAATTTAGGTAGTTTATATTTGCCTCTAAATGAATCCATGTCACCAAGATTTACAAAATTATCAGAATGTATTTTGCATACTATTTTCAGTTAAAAAAGTACAGATTGAATACGTGGTTTTATGACCTTTCACATTGTCCTTAGGTAAACTTATGCCCTCTCTGCCTTTTATTGCTGTTTTATTTTGCTTCGCTTTGTTATGTTAAAGCCTTGAAAGAATGCTATTTATGGCTTCTTTAAAAAAATTATCTTGGGTTTATTTATTTTTATTTATTTGATTGTTTTAATGCTTCTGTTTTCTAATTATTGATTCATTTTATTTGAATTCCGTCATTCTGTGAGTTAATTTTGTTACTCTTTTTCTAGCTTCTTGAGTTTTTTTTATTATTAATTTATTTTCACTGTTTCTTATTTAATAATAAAGTTTTCTTATTTCAATGAGGTTTCCTTTGCAAACAGCTTTGACCATAATGCATAATTTTAATATATAATATTATCATATTTATTTGCTAAATATCATATAATTATGTTACTGCTTTTCTCTGTGAGCCAAGAATTATTTCAAGATAATATGAAAATTTCCAAGTGGGAAATTTTTTTTATTTAACTCCATTGTTAATTTTTAGTTATATTGCATGTTTTCTGAGATATTACCTATCCAGATTGGAGTGTTATAGATATATTCACTGTGCCCTGAGTTATGCTAAAAGCTTGTAAAAGGAGTTAATTTTTAGTTATTAAAACAATTTTACTTCAAATAGTCTTTCACTCTTTTAATAAATCACCTCTTATCTTCTTGATATTTCAAATATGGAGAAAGATATAAAAATTCACCCACTGATATTATGAGATTATGTTGATTTTTTTACATTTTAATCATTTTTATTTTATACATTTTGATGCTATGATATTTGACATGTAAAGATTCATAACTGCTCTATTGCCATATCAGTCTCTGCATCTTATCATAAAATAATTTTTTTTGTTTTTCACCCATAAAGTAATGGTTTTCTCCTGAATTCTATTTGGTCTGATTTTAATATTTTTTATCTTATTTTTTCCTAATATTAACTTTGCCATTATATTTTTATCATTAAATTTTTCCTTATTCTTTCATTCCTCTTATACTTTGGAAGTTATATATTGTATTTTTATATCATTAGTGGTTAATTTTTAAAATAACATATTTCAACTTGTGATTTTTAAATAATGTCAAAATTATAAAATATACTGACTCTCCCATATAGCTATTAACTTTCCCCAACCCCAGGATTTCTCTAGGTCCAAAGATTCCATATTTGGAGTCATATATATATATATATGCACACATATACAACTATATGTATAACTTTTTGTATTTGTAATGAATTGATGTAGTTCTTTTTCATTTTTATGAAGCGATAACATTCATTGCACTAGTACTATAATGGAATATTATAAATACTTGAAAGTACCACTTAATCAGGATAAAACTATTCTACTGAATTTCCAAGGATGGGAAGAGAATTTGATAATCTTCCATTTGCTCCCTGATGTATCTCTTGACTATAGCAATTGCCATTGCCGATAAATGCTTGGTTGAACTCATTCGATTGGCTAAGTTCATTCTGATTCAGTAACTCCTTTTTGTAGCATGGTCCACATGCCGTGTGCAAATGGCATATCCAAGGTCAAGAAGATGAAATTTATTTGTGAAAGGCATAGAGTCATTCCATGTAAGCATTGGGAGGGACTTGAAAATAAATCTGTTCTAAATATGCATCATCTGCTTCGTGTCCTCTACAATGTGTGACTATGTATTAGATACATATGAAATCTTAGGTCTCCATAGCAGTTTACTATCTGTGTTCTAAAGACAGTGATCAATGGCTTGGCCCACCCATCCTCCTGATTTAGGATGACTGCCAGAGTGCAGCTGGCTTTGGAATGTCACTTGTTATCAAATGGCTTCAGTATCGAGTTTAACTTGGAAGACTGAGAACAAATTAAAATTAAAGAAGAGAGGGATAAATAGGGAGGAGGAAATCAAGAAGAGGAAAGAGTATGCTAAGAGCAAAATTTTACAACATATTACTGGAAAGAAATATTCTAAGAATCTTAGAAATTTTAGAACTTCTGTAGAGATTCTAATCAGACAGCTGAAATTTGTGGATTCAAATATGCATTCCAACTCTTATAGCTATTTACTTATTCAAATGATACTGCCTTTGCTTAAAATGTTTTTGAACCCTTCATTTGAAATTGGCTTCAGAGTCTACACAACACTTGGTAGTTTAGTAGTCCTTTGGGTAAGCTCACTAGTGGATTGATTCATTGTCACCATATGCAACCTATGAACTGTTGATGGCCCAGCGGAGGCTTATGGTGATCATTTCTGTTCTTTGGGAACTGGAAGATTTGAGGTGTATGGAATATTCATGAAGCAAGGAGAAAAGGCCAATTGGCAGAATCTAAGAGCAGCTATAGGTAGCTTGAGTGTGTCTTTGGGCATCTCAGGAAGCAAAGCAGCTGTTCTGTTTCTGCTCATCATTTCAGTGATTCTGCATTTGCCTCTGTCCTTCCAGTGTTTGAGGTGAGCCCCGCTCTTGTGGGTCTATCCTTTTATATCCTTGCTACTTCTTAGAGTATCTGCTCTCTTACTGATGCAGGTGATTTTGATTAATGGAATGGTTGGAAAAATAACTGTAGAACAAAGAAGGGAAGCTTTCTTAAAAAATTTTTTTTAAATCACTTAAAAATGTATTCTTTAGTTCTTTATCATCCACAAAGTATGCATTAATGTATGCATACTATATCTTATAAAAAGTTCAATGATATAATGAGATTGGCTAACATTACTTGAGCTCTTATTTCGTGTCAGGTACTATGTGATGTGCTTTACATGTGTTAATTTCAAGCTCGCAATAACTTGCAGATGAAGAAACTGAGGCTTGCAGTTGTTAAGTGAAGCAGTCAAGATAATACAGTTAGACAATGATAAAGCTAATATTGGAATTAATTTAGTTATATCTGAGTGCAGAGCTTGTTCTCTTAAACTCTATTTTATGGCATTTAATTTATAATATCTCCATAAAGAATAGACATTAGAATGTGCATGTGTATATAGAGGTACATATACATTTACATGTGGTACATGTATATATAGATACAGATATATAGATAGATAATTATTAGCCTAGCAGAGTCTTTTTTGCTCATTTCTATGAATAATTAGCAATAGCATAATATTCTGAATGCTTTTTATGTGCCAGTAATAAGAACTTTTATAGATATTTTATCTATAATTTAATTCTGACAACTTATAAAATATGTCCTATTTTTATCCATGTTTTACTGATGAGGAGATTATGAGGTAGGGATCAAATAATCTGCCCACGGTCACCTATCTAGTAAGTTGCAAACCCCATGCTCTTAAACCTCAAGCCTTAATGACTGATGAGCCATGTAGGATGAGGGGAATGGAGGACAAGATGAATGGTGACGGCATCAGTCCCCAGGGCAGGGAAGAGAGACGCAGCACATTTAATGAAGATGTGACTTAGTTCGAGTTTAGATAGGTGGAGGTTTCCATAGCAGGACAATTTCTCCTGCCCATAGTAATGACGAGTTTCTTTTTTCAGACTCCAAGTACGTAATTCTCCA